GGCTTTCGAGCAAGGGAACCTTTACTTTTACTTTACCCTGCAAAAATCTTTATACGCTCCAACACAGAGTGCTTGTTTGCCCACAGTGGGGCAGATAGGGCTGTGGGACCATTTCAGGTTGAGAAAATCGATTGTGTGTGTGGTACGGGGGGGGTGAGGGGGAAGTGTATAAGCTGCAGACACACACCTCACCACGGTGCTGACCTTGGCGCAATTGCTTGTTTACAACATAAAAAATAGTTTGGGGTCTCTGACTCAAAACACCCGACGTTTTTTTTGTCTGGTTCTGACCTAACAGAGCGGGAGACCTTTGGACAGCTCAGTAAAAAAAACCCAAGTTGGGTAATTCCTCCTCATACCCTGTGCTTTAGTTTTTTTGGCAAGGTAAATGGAGGCCAGTTGGCCAGCTTTTATGGAGGATTGCGACGACGCTGGGGTTGCCCGTTGTGAAAGGGAGGCGGTGTACTTGGGATGAATTATGGCCTATAAGCGTTTTAGAAAATGAATAAAAAATAAGTATTTGTAGGGCATCGGTTTGGGCCGGGGACCTAATGTGGTATAGGGTGTTGGACTAGACCCAGTGAGGTCAGGATTCAAATCTCCTTTTTGGCCTGACGCTCATTGGTTGACTTTAGGCCACTCCCACTCTGTCAGCCTAGCCTACCTCACAGGGTTGCTGTGATGGTAAAATGGGGGAAGGGGGAAACCGTGCACGCCGCCCTGAGCTCTGTGGAAGAACGGTAGGCTAAAAATGAGATAAATTGATGGATAACCGCCTAGTGTGAGAGAAATGCCCGAAGTTCTTCAAAATAGCAAAGCTGAGGGTTTGAGATTCCTCCGGAGAGGCTGGCAAAGGACGCGGCTCGCCAGAGGAGAGCGAGTTCAAAATGGAAGGATTTTGCACTCCATTCGAAGCAGAGTTTCTAGGTTCACCCAAGTGAGCGGTCGTAGGTGATTTTTAGAAAGACCGAGAAAGGAGGGCCCAGAAAGGAAACCCACACCGGCCTTCGTCCCCTGCTAGGAAATTTGGAGGGAAAACGCGTTCCTTCGAACCTTGCTTGTCAGCGGCAGGAAAAATAGGTGTTAAAGATGTCTTGCGAGAGGAGCAGACAGTGTCCTGGAAAGAGCTGGCTTTTGTGCCCTCGCTCTGAAGAGGCAGCAGTGTGTGAGAGGGCTTTTCTCTCGGCCTGAGGAAAGAGGGGAAGATCCTGTCAGACTTCGTAGCCAAAAATGTTGTGTAAAAGCGATGGGAGGGAAAGCCAGCTGCCAAACAGACACTGTACAGGGTGCTTTTCCTACACACTAAATAATGCATTTTCGGTCTGCTTTCAATGCAGTTGGCAACTGGACTTGACTGTGCGAAATGGCAAAATCCACTCGCAGACGGTCGCTGGAGCGGATTGAAACTGCATTCGTTAACACGTGCGAAAGCAACGGGCTAAATCAAGGAAGTTTATCATGTTTGGATTCAAGTTATTTAAAAGGAATGCGCATGGGGGACTTAATCTTATTTTGAGAGAACAGGGTGCCGGAGCGGTTAGAGCAGGGGTCATTTCGTAGACAAAGAGGTGCAGGAGCTCATTAGCATAACTCATTAGCATAACTTATTTGCATATGCCACACCCCCTGACATCACCAGAAGTGTGTCAGAAGGCACCACTGGACTGTTTTGGATTGCTAGCTTTTTTGGGGGGGAGGGGGAATATGCAGATCTGACCTCGCAGAGGAGGGAGAGCTTGTACCTGAACAAAACTTGGTCTTAAAGGTACCACTGGATTATCTTGGGGGGGGCTCTGCAACTTACCTGGCTGCTTCTTGCTCTGACTGAGGGCTGCTGGGAGCAGGGGGTGGGGCTTGTTGCATGTGCCCGCCCCCTGGGCTCTTTACTGCCGGAGCTCCGCTCCTGTGCGCTCCTGCAGGAAATGACCCCTGGGTTAGAGCGTTGGATTTATTTATCTGAGGGAGACCCAAATTCAAATCCCTGCTTGGCTCACTCGGTGACCTTGGCCTAGTGGCATTCTCTCAGCCTGACCTACCTCACAGAGTTGTTGTGAGGGTAAGACCGTCAGTACGGGTGACCTTGGTCAAGTCACATTCTTTCAACCTGACCTACCTCACAGAGCTGTGAGGATAAGATGATCAATAAGAGAGTGTTCAGGATACGGTTTCTTTCCCTGGGCTCCGTCAAAGAAGGGCAGGATTTAAATAAAAAAAAAAAAAACTAGTTCCAACTTTAAAATTCCAGAGGATATGTTCTTTCCGTTGGCAAAGATTATCTCCCGTCATAGCATATTTCTCTCCTGTTGTGGGAGCGCAGTTTTACAGGACCTGGAAATGGCCCTCAAAGCCATTTAGCGCAGTGACTAATGGCGTTCATTTGTTATTAACACCGTTTTAATGCAACGCAAACATAATCATCGTGGAGTTAATGAGCAGTGTTCCCCCCCCCCCCCGTTCTTTTTTTTCCCTTTGGCAAATCTTACCTCAGTCATGAAGTCACTTAAGTGCCTTGAGGAAAAAACGCTCTTCTTTGTCCTCTTTCTTCCTTCCTCCACTCAGTGCTTCTGGGAATAATACCAGCCTACCTTGCAGGGTGTTTGTGAGGATTACTGAGGAAATATGTGAAGAGCACTGAATGTTCCTCTCAAACCCTGCTTTCTCAGCTCCTCACAAGAGGTAAGGCAGGGCTTTTTTGGTGGTAGCACCCCCCAGTCGTTGAATACCCTCCCCCTTTGGTCCCATCTGACATCTGACTTCGTATCACTTGGGCACAAAACCCAATCTTTTAATTGAAGTTTTATCCCACATTTTAATTTTTTTTAAACTGATCTTATGGCGTAGATGATCCCACCTGTCTGATGCTTATTTTGACTTGCTGTTAATGCTGTCCGAGGCAACTTTTTTGGGTTTCTTCTTGTTAGGTCGGAGTTGTCGTATCGCTACTGGTGTTCATTTGAGTCGCTGTTATTTATTTGAAATTTTAAAATGGTTTACTCTTTATCATTAGACGTCTTCAGCAGGTCTCCGGAGAGGAGTCCTATAAACTTTTCAAACAAACAAAAGTGCAATATAAATACAATTTGTGCCCTGACCTGGGTATTAAGCCACGACATATAGCTGGAACAATATGTCTGAGGAAGTGTATTCTTGGTATTTGGGGGTCAACAGTGGGAGGGCTTCTGGAGTTCTGGTCCCACTGGTGAACTTCCTGATGGCACCTGGGTTTTGGTCACTGTGTGACACTGATGGTGCATTCAGATGGGGTGTTTCAGCCGGCAGAAACTGTACCAGTTGGAACAGTTGCAGTTTATGCCGGCTGAAACGCAATCACACTTACCTCTGATCTGCGGAGCCCATCGCTGTATGCCCGTTCACACACAGTGGGTGTCGGCGGTTTGTTTGTTTTTTAAAACTCAGTTTGCGCATGCACATAGGCAGCCATCCACAGAATGGCGATCTTCGTGCATGCGCAAAACACCCCGTCCCGAAAAGCATGCCGTGAAGAGAGGACGTACCTTTAAAGTTTAAAGACCAAACTGGCCTCCCTGAGGTCCCGGACTCCTCTAACACTTTAAACTAAGGACCTTTTTCTTTCTTTTTTAAAACAAACGCCGGGGCGAAGCTTCGCCCAAGCGCATATCATTGACCTAAAAAAAAAATGGCGGACAAAAATCGGAAGCCTCGGGCTTCCGAATGGAAGTGGCTCTACAACGGTGGAGAGGGGGGGAAGACAACGAGGGGGGGGGGGGGGAAGCGATTACAACCGTTGCACTCAGGATACCACCACTTGGGGACCTAGTGGCAGAATACAACGGTTTAAAGCTCTTTGCAACGGTTGGGAAGGAAGGCAAATGTTCGCCGTGTGAACGCCGGTAAGTACACCGATTCCAACCAGCACCTATACCGTTGCAAATGCCCCATCTGAACGCACCCCGAGTGTTGGACTGGAAGGCAAATTGGCCTGATCCAACATGGCTTCTCTTATGTTCTTTTGATAGCCCAGGCCAGCCTGATCTCATCAGGTCTTGGAAGCTAAGCAGGGTCGGCCCTGGCTAGTGTTTGTCTGGAAATCCAACAAGGAATACCAGGGTTGTGATGTGGAGGCAGGCAATGGCGAGCCACCTCACAACATCTCTTGCCTTGAAAACCCTACAGGGTCACCATAAGTCACTCATGACTTGATGGTGCTTTCCACCACTAACTTTATTATTACTGTTGTCGCTGCTGGGGCTTTGAACCTGTGACACTCACACATGCAAGGTGTTTGGGGGGGGGAAGTGTGTTCTGTGCTATACTTTGCATTTTTTTTGCAGTTGCTGTTTCAGGAAAGTATCTTCCTGCTTTGTTACATATGGGGGGTGGGTTACTGTCAGACTGCGTTCACACAAACAAACACAAGCAGGGTTTGGAATCTGCGAGAGGGCTAGGGGTCATTTCATAGAAAAAGAGCTAGGGGAACTCATTAGCATATGCCACACCCCCTAACATCATAAGGCCCGGCGGTGGACCTGCAAGGCCGGTGGGAGTGCGAGGAAGCCCCGCCAAGGCCCTCTCTGGCCCCAGGCAGGCAGGGGTGGGGAGAGGCAGGGAGGAAGCAACTTACCCTTCCTCTTCTCCTGCCTCCTCCTGGCTGAATGAGGGCCGGAAGCGGGGCGGCCGGAAGCAGGGGGCGGGGCTTCGTCATGTGCCCCACACCTCACCCGGGGGAACTGCGATCCCCCACAATCCCCCCCAAAATGACCTCTGGAGAGGGCCATTCCTTGTTAAGGCGGCCCTTTGGAGAGGAGTCAACACTTAACAGGCCCTGAGCCCAACCTGGCTCCTGACGGAGTCCATGTAGCCCTCAAGTGGTCCTCCCTGAGAGGAAAGGGGCTTGCTGGCAGGCTCTCGGTTGAAGATGGCTCTGGGCCTGGCCTTACTTCCTCCTTCCTCTTCAGTAGACTGTGGTCTAGATCCACCATGCCGTTCCCTCATTTGTTCTTTTGCTTTTTGTCTTCCAGGGTGCCATGCGGAAGTCGAGATATCCGTCCCGCCTGAGGTGGAGGTGCTGCTGGGCAAGCAGGCGTCCATTGCGTGCACGCACACCGTGACGGGGGGGAAAGGTTACCACCTGGTGGAGTGGTTCATTGTGAGTGTGCGGGGATGGTCAACAGGGCCGGGAGGGGCCGAGGCGACTTTTAAAAAAAAGTTTCAAACCGTTTCCGCGACTTAACGCTACATCCCTCTCGCAGACGGACAAGAATGGGGAGCAGCGCCGCATGGCCTTCAGTGACCAGGACCGCCGGGAGGTGGACAAAAACACCGAATACACCGACCGCATCCTCATGGACGACGACTACAGTCTGGTCATCAAAGCCGCCGACGTGAGCGACGAGAGGGCTTTCACCTGCCGCGTGATGGCCGGCGTCGCGGGGGACGCCGGGGGGACGGCCCAGCTCAAGGTCTACGGTGAGGCTCTTCAGTCGGGCTCTGCGGGACGTCCCTCACCCAGCCGTTCCTCTCGGGCTTCCCTTGGCTTCCTTCCCCATCCCTTTTCTTGTTCAAACACCCTCACAGGCTTGTCCCTGGTGTTCTACCCTCGCTGCGCAACGTGGCCGTGCTTGTGACCTTCCTTTCGGCAGAACTGCCACCCAAAATCCTCTCACTGACGCCTGGCGTTCGCTGTGGCCTCCCTCGTCCTTCAGATTCCTCATCGACGCCCAACGGTTTCCACCAGGGGTCGTTTCGTAGAAAAAGAGCTAGGGGAACTCATTAGCATAACTCATTAGCATATGCCACACCCCCTGACATCAGGGGCCCGGCGGTGGACCTGCAAGGCCGGTGGGAATGTGAGGAAGCCCCACCAAGGCCCTCCCTGGCCCCAGGCAGACAGGGGTGGGGTGAGGCGGGGAGGAAGCAACTTACCCTCCCTCTTCTCCTGCCTCCTCCTGGCTGAATGAGGGCTGGAAGCGGGGGGGCCGGAAACAGGGGGCGGGGCTTCATCGTGTGCCCCACCCCCCTGCACCTCACCCGGGGGAACTGCGATCCCCCCCAAAATGACCTCTGGTTTCCACCCTGAATTAAAATTAAACCAGGCTGCATATACAACCCTCGTCTCCATCTTCGGGCGCCTTCACACGCGCTAAATAACGCGCTTCCAATCCACCTTCAGTGCTCTTCACAACTGGATCTTACTGTATGAAATGTCAAAATCCACTTGTTAACGGTCACCGAAGTGGATTGAAACGGCCTTATTTTTTTATCGTGTGTGAAAGCGCCCTTTCTTTCCTCTCCCCTCCCTTGTTGAAGTCTAAATTGTAAGCTCCACAGGGCGAGGGCCTGTCTCTTTGGCTCCTGTTCCTCTGTGAAGTGCCGTGGAACTCCGTGGTGCTGTAGGAAACGGCAGTCCCTGCAGTGTGGCCCTCTGTCTCGCCGGCAGCGTTTGCCCTCCCTCTCAGCGACTCGAGTCCTTTTGTGGGATCTTTACCCACCTGCTGCCAGCTTTTAAACTCCCCCAGAGAGGGACATCTAAACCCTCAGATGGGCCCAAAATATTGTAGTGCTGGAGCAAAACATTCAAATCTCCTCCCCCCCCCCCCCCCCCCCCAAAGAGCATGCCGGCGATAAACAAAATATTTGACAATTACGTGTTATCTCAAAACCTGGCTGCCTCGCGTTGTGTAATGGTTGGGCTGGCTTCTCCTCAAGCGGCTCCACGGGGAGTTTTGAAATGGAAGCGTCAGGATGAGATGTACGTTAAATATTTGCTTGGCTTCCCATCGCGGTTGCTAATAGCTCCGTCCTTA